CTTTAACACAGCCTCAATGGGAAGAAACAGTAGGGTTCATCGGAAGCAGGAAGAAATGGACCAAGGTATTTGTCTTCTCTGAGAAGTTTTCAGTTGGGTGTTGATAATGGATCCAAGTAAAACAAAAAGTAAGTACTTTTTATTCATCATGATGTTGCTTATTGGTCCAGTTGTATATATTTTATTATTTCAAGTTTCCGTATAACGCATCCTGAAGGCCTTTGGTCTTCATCAATACGTGTTTCTAGTCTTCTCTCTTAGCCAGCAAGTTTCTATCATCTGCCTATCGCACGTTCTTAACGGATGTTCCTCTAATCCTGACGCTGTGTTCTTTATCATGTAGTAGAGTTGCTCAGATTATTTGTTCAGCATATAGATTGAATAAGTATGGTGAAAGGATTCAACCTTTCCTGATTTAAACTATATTTTCTTCTTGTTTATGGACAGGATCAGCAGCATCATGCTAAAGTGTTCTACAATCCCCCCCTTTCTTGACAATGTAATTAATAATTTGTGACCCTATAAAATCTGTGTGGGGGCCACATCTGACCTTCTGTAACTTCAAGAGTGGTAGAGAACAGAAGCACCATCAGCGTCAGTCAAAGACCAACACTTTTGAGGGAGATGTCACACGTGCCTCATAGTTTGGCTTTTGCTGACCAGTTTTAATTATCTTCCGTCTCTAATTGACTCGTGTAGAAGGCATTCATGGTCAGTTCTGCAGTTGCTCCTGGCCCCTGACTGATGATAACTGATTTTTCTCTCTTGTCTTTTCCAGAGAGGCAGTTGATTTGATTGCTGCATATTCTATCCGGTTAGATCCGCATGCATAGTCACTATTTATGCTGTTGGTAAGAGGTATTTGCAATGAAAAATGTGGTTGATCTTGCAAAATCCTGTCCTGTGACTTCTGGTGTTATTTCTGTAACTGACGCCGTAGTTTCTAACTACCAATCTTTCCTGGTTTTCAATTTTTGCATTCCAATAACCAGTAAGATCGCGTGGCTGATCAATTTCTAACAGCAGAATTTGGTCAAAATCTTCAATTCCTTGATCTTTATCACTAGTAGTTGGTGCATGAGTTTTTGATTATGTGCTGTTCTCTCAACATCCTCCAAGAAAACGTTTCCCAGAGTGTTTAGTGGAACAATAATACAGATGAAAGATTCCCCAGGAAAAGATTCTGTAGCCAAAGAACCGTTGAAAACACATGGTATGGAATACGTTTCTCTTTTTGTCAGAAACCATAGCAGCATGTTACAGCTTCAAAGAAGCCTTATGGTGAATCACCGTGTTTCTTTACTTAATGTTATATTTCCTACGTAAACCTGAGCACCGCATTCCTATTCTAGCTCTCCTATAGCACCTCCAAACATTTAAAACTAGTGCTCTGAGGTGCGCATTTTGGGAAATATTGCCCACAAAGATATGATGTTTGTATTTTCTTTTTAAAAAATTGTTTAAAAAATATACTTTCTTTGAACCTGCTTACCTTTTCAAGATGTTTGGAGATGTTTGTGCCGTTTTAAACATGTGTGGTGAGTTTTAGCCTTATTTATTTGAAGGAAAGCGTTCAAGCTCACTGCCACCAAGTCAGTCATTTCTGACTCATAGCGACCCTAGAGGGAAGCGGAGAGCTGCCCTTGTGAACTTCTGAGACTGTAACCCTTACCACAGTAGAAATCCTCACTTTTCTTCCGAGGAGCTGCTGGTGATTTCGAACTGCTGATCTTGTGGTTAGCAACCCAACCAGTGACCAGCCCAACGAGGATGCCACCAGGGCTCCTTGAAGGTAAGAAAGCCCCTTAACATTAGGATAATGACCACTGTCCCGTAAGAGTTGGTTTATCCATCTTCCAGAATTGCCTGTATTGACATGTCACTAATCTAAGGGTTCAAAGTGGAATCTCAGCTCTACCACCTGTCAACAGTATGGTGTTGGAGATCCTGTTTAATGCTTCGAAGCCTCGGTGTTCTCATGGTAAGCCAGGATTAAAACAATGCTTGACTTACCATTGCTATACAATCTGATGGGACAGGCGTGTTCTCTTCACCCTTTTATGGCTGTCTTAGATTGGGAATGAGGACTGTAGATTGTGTCTTTGATGTGCTCTCTTTCTTTTAAGGTTCTAAGTGACTCTGTTGACTTTTCCACAGGCAGCGTTCCTTCATTGGTGGGAAAACAAAGGAATGCATGCGGCTGGTAAGGCCTGGTAGTAGTTGATACTCCGTTGTTAATTCATCTGCTTAGGATTAAAAACATGGGTCAATTTCTCGATTTCTCCAAGGTTGTCTGGTAAATGAGGTGTGAGAACCTCAAAGTGAGTAGCACTTTCTGAGGTCAGGGAGTAGCAAAGGGGAGAAGATGCTAGATGTGATTTTGGAGAGGAGAAGTCTGAGCAAGGTTAGTAAGCAGACGTCAGGTCATCATTGGGAAGCCATCCTCCTTTCTCCTTCTCATTACAAAGCACACACACAACGTTTTGATTGAGCCCCATGTATTGTGTAAGGAGCCACTCACTGACAAGGATAAAACCCCACGGCTGTCCTTTAAATCATGGACTGCAGAGGCCTGTGAGCCTTAGAGCGATGACTTGGTATCTTTCTTTTTTCCCTTATTCAAGGTTGGGGAATAGATGTCTCCCCGAAGATTGTAATTATTCTTGTCTTTAATCTTAGCTCTTTTAGAGAGTCTAAACTAACTTCTTCTCGGAAGCCTGAGGGGCGGCATTGCCATGATCTCTGCAGCGATGATGTGCTCACTGCTGCACAGAATAGAGCTGCAGGCATTCCCCAGAGGGTTTGCTACGTCAGCAGGGAAGTCAAATCTAGTAAAAAATACTTTGTTACTCTGTGCCGCCGAATCAGTTTGATTCATAAATGAAACCACGCGGAACCCACTGCCATGGAGTTGATGCTGACTCATAGTGAGAGCCTGTAAGTCAGGGGACATTTTACCTTTGGGTTTCCTAGGCCACAGTTTTAAAAAAATGCTTTTATTGGGGGCTTGACATGTCTTATCACAATCCACACATTCCTCCAGTGTGTCAAGCACATTTGCACCTTGGCCGCCATCATTGTTTTCAAAGCCTTCTCTTCCCACTCGAGCCCTGCCATTTTTACAGAAGACTGCCCCATTGCTCTTTCATGGGGCGGCTGGTGAGGAGAAACCTAGTGGGCTTGTAAGCAGGGCTCCTTTAACACAGCCTCAATGGGAAGAAACAGTAGGGTTCATCGGAAGCAGGAAGAAATGGACCAAGGTATTTGTCTTCTCTGAGAAGTTTTCAGTTA